TCCATTCACTACTAACGAGCAGCAATGGTATCAAACCGAAAGATACGCGTGCTTGCCCTCGCGGTTGGCATAACGCTCCTCACAACCATTCTTTTATTAACACGTGAATCCAGACACAAGAATGTCCTGGTAGCAAAGCAAGCAGCTGGAAGTACGCTTTTGGAGTCTGCCAACAATGCTCAAGTGGATGCCGCAATAAACGAAGAGATATCGAAAACAAAAGGCAAAGAGGATGCTGAAAGCAATGGAGAAATACAGCAGGAGACGCCTGAAGACGATTCAACGACCGAGGAGTACGATCCCGCCAAACAATATAGGGAGATCAGAGCCTTAGCACCCATGACGATATTTTCCAAATCGTACTGCCCATTCTCCAAGAGGTTGAAGCAGCTTTTGCTGGATAGCTACAATATTGTTCCCCCACCAACCATCGTTGAACTCGACAAATTGAAGCAGGGCAAAGAACTTCAGGCTTACCTCGGCGAAATCACTGGTAGGAAGACCGTGCCAAATGTTCTCGTGGGAGCATCCAATCCACAAAGCCGAGGAGGCGCCGACGATTTCATCGATTTGCATAACAAGGGAGAGTTAGAGTCCTCGTTGAACACATGGGGAGACAAAGAGCTACTGGTAACGAAGAAGGAAATACCATCAAACGTATAAATAGAGCAAAAAATCTACATTGCGTATTTATCTTATTTTAACATTAAGGTACAAAAGCCTAAAACCTGAGTTATTTGATATGCAAACAGGCTTAGAACTTGGTGAACTGCTTAGACTTGGCCTTGGAGACGGCAACCTTCAAGACGTTGAATCTGACGGTCTTGGAAAGAGGTCTGCACTGGCCAACGACAACAACGTCACCCTCCTGGACACGGAAAGCTGGGGAAACGTGAGCAGCGACGTTCTTGTGTCTCTTCTCGTATCTGTTGTATTTAGGAACGAAGTGGAGGTAGTCTCTTCTGATGATGATAGTTCTGTGCATTTTGGTGGAAACAACAGTTCCGGTCAAAATCTTACCTCTGATAGAGATCTGACCGACGAATGGGCACTTCTTGTCAATGTAAGAGCCCTCGATGGCAGACTTAGGGGTCTTGAAACCCAAGCCGACCTCCTTGACGAATCTCTTGGCCTTCTTGTTACCCTTGGTCTTTGGGTTGGTGAAGATGTGTGGTTGCTAAATGTTAGTAAATCGTTTATTAAACAGCGTTTTATTGATCGAAACTTTTAGTCAATCACAAATTTCAACATGAAGGGGCCATCAGGACGTATATCTTCAGTGAACTTTGATGGACCAATATCAAGCATTATGATCGGGGATTCGCCGTAAATCACATCTGATTAATGCAGATGTTAATAGAATTAACATACCTTCTGGTAAGCTCTCTCAGATTGCACAGTCAACTCAGTAGCCATCTTGGATTCTTGTTGGTATAGTTAGCTATCACTGAGAAGGAATTTTCAGTAGTAATCGCGGGAGAATTTTTTGCGATGTGTCCAGCACAAAAAGTATTGAGTGCAGGTTTGGAGAACACAGGGCTAAAGCCCTAAGCACGTGACCGTATCAGAATGGGTCAACCCATCAAGGCTGGCGTCAGTAGGAACAGCTTCAGAGACACTTGATGAAGTATTCAATTCGATGGACAGAACAAAACATCTCTGGGCTCAATGGCCTGTATGCACTCACTTGAACCGTGAGCTGTGAACCATAAGCAGAATCGGTGCACCCAGGATATTGGTCAACCTTCGACATATTTAAATTTACCCATAGAGTAGAAGTGTAATTGTTGCTGACTTTGAGTATGGTCAGGTTGACGAGTTCCTATGTTACTTGGCGATGTACGTTTTGTCAGTTTATCACCGGCGGTTGCACAGAGGATAGAGTCACCCAGAGGCCGTCAAAACCCAAATCTTCTGGTGAGATCCTACTGATTCAGATCAATTGATATGGAGAGCTACTTATCTTTGGGTTCCCCCTCATGATAGTGGTCCTAAGTATCCGACTATCAGGTGATTTTCCCACACAGTCAGATATATTCTTTCGACTTCAGTTAGTACGTTCCAATTCGATCCGAATTGAGGGTCGTGCTTGTTACTAAAGAATTGGTTGTGCTTTGATCTTTATACAAGTGTTGTTCCGCCTGACGTCAATGCGATAAGGGTACGGCTGCACCCCGATCTTACATGGTTTCTGCTCAGGCATCATACAAACGAAATATAATATTTAAAGCTTCAACAGTGAGATAAGAAACTGTAAAATGAGATCTCTCCAGGGTTTCCCGCACCGTGTCTGATCTGTCCCTATGTGACATACCCTGGTGTATATCGTGATTCCTGCATTCCCGACTTATCAAGATCACAAATACAAGAGAGGATCAGTCTGAAACTCTACCACAACAAACGGACCCATTTTATTTGCAAATCAATCATGACTGAAAGGAAGACGTCAACAACGCTACCGAAACTTCGAGTTCCATCACATTCGTTTGCCGACTTTTCTGCTCAGAACATCTCCAATCTTACTCTGAGGACCGTATCATCATCAACATCCACAATTTCCACACCCAGCAACAACATACGACGGGTGCGCCAGGAACAGCCTTTCATTGAAAAGAAGAATGATCATAAGAAGAAGAGCAAGACACTCAGGCCTGAGTTTAAGCCTGAAGCTAAAGCATCAAAGAAGCTACTCAACTTTCAGCAACTGAAGAAGTCTTATGCCCCTACTCAGCCATTTGTATTACACAAGCCAGCTGATATGTCTCATTATGATTACCTGGTTTTCACAAAGCAGCATAATACATCTAGAAGAAGTCCTGTTATCGCGCCACAGTCTCTGCTGCTGCCTACATCTCCAGCTGAGCCAGTAAAGCCATCACTTCCCCCAGTGAGGCTGACGCAAATCAAGGCATGGGAGTCTGCCGAGACCATAACATCCAACAGGGTGTTTGATTACGCCAAGCAGGATGACGAAGCATGGCTCGATGACGATACGTACGAGTTCGGAGCGGACGAGGAAGTGAGTATTGACAGAGGCAATGACGAGTGGACTGAACCTAATGTTTCAAACACGATCATTGCGCTGATCCCTGAACTCTCAAGAACGGAATTAGAAATAGTTTCTGAACATTTCGATCGGTTGCAAAGATGTGTGGAGTCTCCCAATATTGATGATTACGAGAAGGAAGAGAAAAAAGCTCTTTGGGCACATGCCATGCAACAGTCTGACGAGTATGAAAAGCTATACACTTCAAATCACACCATTTCTGGTAAACGGCGTGTTCAAGTTCTTCAGAAAAGAGCGTTCCTCCAAAAACTCTTCGGATATTCAAACAACATCAACACAGAGCTTACTACAAATAACTCATCTTATTCCGCGGTGGACAGTTCGATGAGTGCTCAAAAGGCCTTTCATGAGGATAAGGAAGAAATCTGTGAACTACTCGAGCAACAGCAAGCCTATCAACAGGCAATTGACGAAGTAAGGGAGCGTTTGGTGCCCTTGGGTAACCTAAGACTTAGCTCCCAAAACCCCACCCCAGAGATAGCATATCTGGAGGTGGACCAGTCCAGGTTGGCAGATGTGACGTCTCACTGGTTGAGCTCCATCTACGACCGGGACAGCAGCATGCATGTGGAGGAAGATGACGATGACCCAGACATTGTGGCAGCTGCCATGTTACATCTCAAGCAATGCGTAAGGGCCGCCACCGACGTTACAATGGAAGAATAGTAATATGGCGTTGTCTACACGAGGGATAAAACGTCAGCGTCGTTATTAATATACAAGGATAATACTTTACAATGTAGGTCTAGTGCTTTGTTCTCTTTGGTGGAGGGCCTCTCACAGGAGGCTTTGGCTTCTCGCCGGGCTTCATGAAGAACATTGGAGCATACTGTAGTATGTCAGGAACGCTGACAAATCGTATCATTGAGCCCCTGACAAACACTTGGCCTTTGTGTGTAGTTTCTCCTGTTTTTCCTTTGGTAATGGTCACATCGCCAAGCGATAAGTTCATGTTGTCCTCAGACTCTTGCAACTTGCCGCGATATGTATCTCCATTAGTCAATTCTAGAGACACAACATGGCCCTGTGCTTCGTTTAGAAGCTTGATGGGTATACCAGTAGACATGTCGGTAGATGTTAGAAGGCTCACCAGAATGCTTTAAGTTGTGAAGCATGCAGGACAGGCAGCTCGAAGCACCATAAATGTGTTTAAAAAAAGGCTTAATCTGGATGTTGGAACAATGTCGGGGGTTAAATGAAAGAAAAAGTTAGCAAAATCAAAATTCTGGGGTTCTTTTTGATGGACCTACCCAGAACTGAACTGGACCTCAGGTTCGCCCAGTTGCAGAGTTGGTATTCAAGGACGTGAACCACATCATGCCGTGGTCCAAAATTCAAGATTCAAAAGAATCAGAACATTCCTTTATAAGTACGGTTGAACTTCAACCAGCAACTTCGATTAGAAGAGCGTGTTTATCGAAGCCGCACGGAAGCCAGTGAAGCTACTTCGTCTGCAAGCAGGAAGCATCACTTTTTTACTTATCTCGTAGATCCGCCGGCTATGCTATCTGTGCCTTGAAATGAGAAAAATAATGTTTGTACCACGGAAGGGGCATCGGGAAGTAGCGTATATTCCGACGTAGAATTCGGCGATGGCTGCAAAGTGGCCCGCATCGGACTGCCCAAATACCATTACACCAGGGTCCTCAAGCCTCGCTCAGTCCCTCTTCATGTGGTTCATGAATGCCAGAGACTCAGCCTTTGGACCAACCGAAAGCGGTAAAAAAACTTTTTTAGCAGTGCAGGAAGCCGACTCGCTCAAATCTCGCTATTAGTGTTTGTCAAGACAGGTGCAGCCACTCCGGCACGAACAGACCTTCTCGGATCTACCGCTGCACTCTCTCGCACATATCGCATCAGATATTCAGACTAGCGTCCCGAACCGGATAACGAAATCTACAACGTTTCTTAACAGTATTTCTTTGCAAAAAAGATGGAGAAGCGACTGCGCAAGAGAGCCCCGATCTCGTGCCTTACTTGCAAAAAGCGAAAAGTCCGCTGTGACAAGAAGAGACCGTGCAGCGGATGTGTGAAGAATAACGTTGGCCACTTGTGTGTCTATGTGGAGCCTACGTGGGTCGATGACGAGGTCAGAAAGGCTGCTGAAGATCAAGATGTCAAGCTCAAGGCCGAATTCGTTAAAGTCAAAGCCGCCATGGAGAAGACGATTGCAGCCCAGAGAAGCGAGATAGAGGCTCTTCAGGCCAAGCTTGACAGCCAAAATACACAGGAGATGAAGCAGGAACTTATAAGCCCAAAAGCTCTGCCCCCGGTGGCGCCATCCTACTCGCTTCTGGACGATGCAGCCGCTTCGGCGATATCGATCTTGAGAAAGCTTGACACAACTGACACACAGACCCTGACGCCAGAGGTCTTGGACGACAACTTTTACTCGCTCAAGGGCTTCCGACACCTGAAAAGGAGCAAGTGCTCTGAGTCGTTCGTTGCTAAGCTCTACTCATGGCTCAACATCATCAAGCTTGACCCGCAGCTAACAGGGCTCTGGTACAAAATCACGAACCTACAAAAATCCTATCACATGTACAAGACTAGTTTGCTCACGAAATACCCTAAGTCAGAGCGTGCTGTCTACGGAGACAATGGATGCCCCATGTCTGGTGCTTCTCATGAGCATGGTCCCTCGTGTGGCCATCTTCAATGCCCAGTGGTGGCCTGCGAGTTCAACCTTATGGTTGAGGAGACTTCAAATAAGGTGGGAACGCCGATGAGCCGCTCACAGAGTGCAAAGATCAAGAATGAAAGCTCGGACTCTTCTACTCGTGGCAACGATCCCTCGACAGTTATTTCACAGCTCCAGAAATTATGGTTAGAGTTGATCAGCTATGGTCGTGGTCTGGAACAGATGAACTTCGACCAACTTGTCTACTTGATCAACTTTTACCTAAATCTCTCTAACGCACCAGCTGCGGTGCTGCTGTACGAGCTCGAGTCCCGAAACCTTTTTCGATTTTACCGTGACGACATTCTAGACCTTTTCAACAGGAGTGGGAACGATGCAATTCTAGATCTCAGTGGCCTTGAATCCCAAATGAGCGAGGCTGAGGTGATCTCATTTGCTAAATTGAAGGGCATATACCTTTGTATGCTAGGTCTCATGGTCGAAGAGTCTCTTGATATCTTGAGACTGAGAAGTGGCAGGCAAGATGAGATACTGAATATGTTTCATCAGGTATTCCCTCTAGAAGCAGTGCATCAAGGGTTGGGTTATAAGAGGACCTCCGTGCATGACTCCATACGAGACTTCCTCGAGTTTCTTGCTCCTCAAACATACTCCACTGAATTCTGTAGTCTGTTGCCATGCCTTGCTGTCTTCATGGGCTTCCTAAACAGGTGCATCGCCCTCTACATAAAACCCGGAATCACCAGTGATGTGCGTCTGAGCTTCACATCAATACTTGCAAGAATGCTTGACATGCTAGATAGAGACGACAGCAGGCTACGCCTCTGGGCTGATCCAACGTATGTGCGTTTCAACGGTGCCAATATGTCTGATGTTAGACAAAAAGAGCTTAGGCTTCACTTGAGTCATTTGTGGGTGGATTTTATGAGAATTATTAATCATGTCACATTCAGCACAGTTCCAATCCTTCGTCATTCTGACAAGCTTGATAAGCAAATTGAAAGTTATTTTGAGAACATTCATGAGGCTGCTGAGAACCAGGACCACCTTAAATTTGTTTCCAAGCAAAAAGCTGACCCAAGCGACGACCAGATTCCCGAGCTTTTGGCATCTCTACATGTTTATTATTTGAGCTCAAAAATTTTTTTGTTTCTTCGCAAGAGTACATGTCGTCTGTCTGGCTCAAATGTTACAATTAGTGATTTGCAAAGGTTGACTAAGGAGATAGCCGCTTGGATCGAAGATATTTCCCTCACAAAATTAAGAATGTCGAGATATTTTGAAGTCAGAAGTATGTTCCAATATTTAGACTTTTACATTTCGTTCATCATATTCTTGCAATGTGAGGAGGAACTCGACTACGATTCGATGTGCAAGATTTTACCACTTTTGTTTTCCAAAGGTTTGGACTTGATCAACTTCTTGCAAGAGAGTGTGAAGCAGTTTTCGAAGAACACAGGGTCACAATACATTCTTGGTGCCGTCGCAGAGATCTTGTCCCGAGTGTCCCATCTCAATGTGGGCCTTCTCATACGCTTCAAGAGAGACGAGAGTGGAGATGGCAGTGACTCCAACGAAACCCCTGCGCCGTCCTCTCTTGTTTACACTGCTCCTTCAGAGAATGCCAAACCTTTTACAATTTTGGTACAACAGAAAGAGCAACTAATTATGGCAACAGACTCTGTTCTTATGCTTTTAGAGGGCCTGTTAAATCGTGAAACATTTAGTCGTGTCTCCAAAATGTGGAAGTTTTACATGACGTTTGTTCGAAATTCACACCGAATGAACCCAGCTGCCTATGCCAGGATTCATGCTGACGTCTTCAAATCCGGAAAGCTCATGGACACTTGCCCTGTTTTGCCAAGTCCAGCGAAAGTTGCTTCCACCTCGGATCGCAAGAGTAGCACCGCCGCGTCCGGTGGATGTCCATTCCCGCACCAAAATAACAGTTTCGAACCTTTTGAGCCGTTTTCCAACCCGTCAAGGTCTCTGTTTTCAAGGCAGAGCTCTACTGTTGAACATAACTCGCCACAAGCACAAATCAAAAACGAACCAACTTCCCCCTTTAACGACTCACGCAAGCGAAGATGCCCATTTAATCACGAAGCGATGAGAGGCACTGCTAAGCCGCCAAGCTTCAACGAAAGCAACATTAGAAGAAGCCCAAGTGTTGACGGACCCCCACCTACAGAGAATCATATGATCAAGAGGCCTCTGCCTAGGCCCTCTACAAGCGGTTTCCCCTCAATGATGCCGGCTCCCCCAATGTCTATCCCACCCATGCCTATGGCCTCTCCCAGTCCGACCGTGGGCACGATGGACTGGGACACCTTACCAAACTTTAATTTCGATCTCTTCCCTGATGAGACTCTCATGGCTCAATTTGGCCCCGGCGAGCTCAACAACCCAAACATTGAGGGCATGTTCCAGTGATGAAACAAACCTCTTTATATTCATTCCTTTTAAATTTGGTGTATATTAATTTAGTTCGGAAGGCCGTGTATAATAAATGAAAAAACGGTGCTAAGTAAATCTAGTTTTTCGCAGCCATTCTTTGGACCGTTCTTAGTCACATGATTTAAGAGCTATCAGATCTTCGATTTGACTTTCACGAACCACACTCATGTTTCGCTGTGCAACATCGTTGGGGCGTGCTCGTATAACCTTTAGACACACGAGTGCTACTACAAGCTCCATAAGTCGACGCTATGGCTCAACAGCAATTCCAAAGCAAAGATCGAACACCTTGCTCAAGGTAGCCTTGGCAACGGGTCTTCTAGGAGGAACCTTATATGCCACAAGCGATACCTTCCGTGATTCGGTTAAGCACATATACTATACCACTAAGCGTGTTGGTGTTGTCACTGTGGCAACAACAAGGTGTTTCAATATTTATGTCAATGTCCTCGGGAAGGACTTCGATGACCAGCAAGAACGCAATAAAGCCCTCTCGGAAGCCCATCTCAAGGCTGCTAAGATCACCCTTAAGGCTTTGGAGAAAAACGGTGGTGTTTACATCAAACTTGGTCAGCACGTATCCGCCTTGACATACTTGCTTCCTCGAGAGTGGACTGATACAATGATTCCACTTCAAGATAGATGCCCCCGTTCCTCAATCGAAGAAATCCAGGAGATGTTTCTCGCCGACAAGGGTGTGCCTCTCGATGCCATGTTCAGCGAGTTTGATCCCGAACCAGTGGGCGTGGCATCATTGGCACAGGTTCACATCGCGAGATTGAAAGATTCTGGCGAAAAGGTAGCTGTTAAAGTTCAGCACCCTGCCCTTGCGGAGTTCGTGCCCTTGGACATATACATGACACGGACAGTCTTCGATTTGATGTACAAGGTGTTTCCTGAGTACCCAATGACATGGCTTGGTGACGAAATGCAAAACTCCATTTATGTCGAGTTGGATTTCGTTAACGAAGCGAGAAATGCCGAAAAGACAGCCAAATATTTTGAGAAGTATAAAAAAGATACTGCTTTGCGGATTCCAAAAGTGATTTCTGCAAACAAGCGTATCCTTGTCATGGAATTCGTCGCTGGTGCCAGACTTGACGATTTGAAGTACATCAAGAAGAACAACATCAACACTGCGGAAGTCTCATCATGTCTTTCCCATATATTCAACAACATGATCTTCCTCCCCGATGCTGGATTACACTGCGATCCACATGGCGGCAATCTCGCAATCAGGAAGGTGTCTAAATCCGAGAGCGGAAGTGGGCACAATTTCGAGATTGTCCTCTATGACCATGGTCTCTATCGCTACATTCCCCTAGAGATGAAGCGTGACTATGCTCATTTGTGGTTGGCGATTTTGGACAACAATATTCCTGAGATGAAATACTACGCTGAAAGAGTGGCACACGTGAAGGGCCAGCGGAAATTTCAGATCTTTGCCGCTGCAATTACCGGAAGAGACCCAGACACTGCCTTGAATTATGACATTTCAAAATCCAGAGACTCGAGCGAGGTAAAGAATATGCAGCATCAATTGCACTCCGAAGAAGGCGTTCTCGAAGACTTAATGGATGTTTTGAGTAATATGCCTCGTATGGTTTTATTGATCTTGAAGACTAATGATTTGACGAGAAATCTTGACGAGAATTTGGACAATCCCTTAGGACCAGAGAGAACATTTTTGATTTTGGCAAACTATTGCGCCAAAGTTGTCTACGAGGAGAGCAAAGAGAAAGATAACCGGGCTTACAAAACATATTCGTTAACCTGGGTCTACCATAGACTCACCAGCTGGCTCGCCTACGAGAGAAGAAAGAGTGCTTTGTTTTTCTACGACATATTCATGCTCTTCAGAAATCTCAGAAAGCACCTCACATCATAGAATACCCATCCGTGTATATATATATTAACATGCCCTGAATTATGATCTATTGATTGTTTCTGATTTTGTCCAAAAGATCGTTGATCTTAGGACCCATGACTGGTTGACCTGATTTGGTTCTTCTTGAAAGACTCTCCTTCTTCTTCTCTCTCTCCATCTGCTTCTGTTCGATGGCTCGCCTCCTGTCCTTGACTCTCTGAAGCTTATCCTCTCTTTGTTGTTCCTTCCTCTCCTTAGCAAGCTTAGCTCTCTCCTGGAAGTTGAGTGGTTTCCTTTGCGTGGTAACCTTTGGAGGTGCCTGTTGAGGTGGTAAAGATGCTTTCTGTTTAACTTTTGAATGTTGAGCATCATTGTCGGATTCATCAGATTTAGACTGGTCGGATACATCGTCCTTTTGGTCTTTGTTATCTCCCTTTTCATGAGAAGGCACTTCACCCTCCTCTTCGAGGAGCTTGAAGTACTGCTTTCTCAATCGAGCTCTGTGGACAAGCGACCGTTTGATCTCTTGATTTTTGTATTCCCTGAGATCTTTATGAAACTTTTTACCCTGGAAAGGTTTCCTTCTATCTTGTGAGCCAGCCATCTTGGAGAAATGTGGAGTAGTTCCTTGTGAAGAGCTACAAAAATTTGTGCACTCCCGATGGCTTATATTCTGGGGTCTGAAAAGTTGCAATACTTTTCTGTTTACATGGGCACTTTTTTAAAAAAAGTAGGATTGTGAGCACTTGTTCCGAAATAGAAAAACGTACTTTGAAAGTTTTGTAGGCTGATTTCGATTTTCCAATTTTTTCTCTTCGATTGGAAGAATCTGTTCATATCACACCAATTCGTACAATGCGCGTAGAATTTGCAACCATGTAACAATCACCTCAATTTCCAAATCAGTTAGATACAGTTTTGTCGAGAAAATTACAACAAGGCTACGTAATTGCATAAAAAGGCATAATACCAGGCGCCCTTAAACGCTCGAAAACTCTGCCAAATTTACACCAGAGCATATGCTAAATCATGTCACAGCCGAACAAGTATGTGCTGTTGCCCCAGGAAGCCCACAAATCCCAGGAAAGACCGAATGCAGATGATGTCATAGAAGATGATATCCCACTACAAGATCTTGCGGAAATAGATAATCTTGATTTCGAAAGTGGGTTACAGCAGGAGCCCGACCTCGAGTCGTTGCCAGAAAACCAGGAAGGAAGCGGGACTTCCAACATGAAGATGGCTTTCATGAACATGGCGAACTCTATCCTCGGCGCTGGTATCATAGGTCAGCCCTTTGCATTCAAAAATAGTGGAGTTTTAGGAGGAACGCTTGTCATGTTTTTCCTTACCGGTCTTATTGACTGGACGTTACGGTTGATTGTGGTCAATGCCCAGCTATCTCAAACCAGGTCTTATCAAGACACCGTGTTCTACTGCTACGGCAAATGGGGCAAAATCCTCCTCCTATTTTCCATTAGCTCATTTGCTTACGGTGGCTGTATGGCATTTTGTGTGATTATCGGTGACACCATCCCTCACGTTCTTAAGTCTGCACTTCCAGATTCATGGACCGATCCACTGACATCGATTGTGGGTTGGATGTTCGGAAGAAACGTTATCATCACGATATTTACCGCTTGCATATCCTACCCATTGTCACTCAACAGAGACATATCCAAACTCGCCAAGGCATCCGGATTCGCCCTTTTAGGTATGATTATCATTGTCATCGTTACAGTCGCTCGTGGACCATTGGTCGATGATTCCCTTAAATCGTCATTATCGAAGGGACAGTGGTTTATCAGCTTTAACATTTTCCAAGGTATCTCAGTCATTTCGTTTGCACTTGTCTGTCACCACAACACAATTTTCATTTACAACTCATTGAAAAATGCCACGGTCTCTAAATTTGCAAAGTTAACTCATTGGGCATGCGGAATTTCGATGTGCTTCTGCCTTCTTATGGGATTATCTGGCTTATTGAATTTCGGAGACAAGACGAAGGGCAATATCCTCAATAACTTCAAGAGCGATGACACTTGGATCAATTTGGCTCGCTTTTGTTTTGGGTTGAACATGTTGACCACTTTTCCATTAGAACTTTTCGTTGTTCGAGATGTTCTCAAAGACATCGTATTGGCAAGCAAAGTGGACCCCGACTCAGACGGAAGCACTGCTCATCTAGAGCTTTCCAAGAAGCAGCATTTTATCATCACAACGGTTCTTTGTTTTTCATCCATGGGGGTTGCTCTATTGACTTGCAATTTGGGCATGATTTTAGAACTCATCGGAGCCACTTCAGCTTCTCTTATGGCTTATATTATTCCACCGTTGTGCTACTTGAAATTATCTTACGACAGACTCGATTTTAAAAACGCTGACAAGAAGGAAAGAATAAAGTTCTACCTTAAGAAGTGTTCCCCTAGCATTGCGTGTACTATATTCGGTTTTGCTGTGATGATCATAAGCTCCATCATGACTATCCGTACCGGCTTGAGCAATGAGGACGGTGGCTCTCATTGTGACGTTGCATAAATAGGTCTTTAAAAGTTAATTACTCGATTTCTTCTTCATCGGAGATCATTGCTCTCCTTTTGCTAGATTGTAATTGCCCCTCACTGAGGTCTTCATCATCGAGTACACGGCGTTTGCGAGAAGGCGCAAGTTCTTCGTCGCTTTCGACTGATTCACCACCGGTTGAAGTCAATGGAGTGTCAATTTGCAAACCAACACCGGTTTCTTCCTCGTCCTCGTTCTCATCCACAAACAACTTACTAGCGGATTGAATTGCCTCTTTGATCTGGGAAGACGAGTCCGATGAAATTATTTTTTGCCAGGACTCTTTGAACAACTCTAATTGTTCCTTTTGAAGCACTCCGCCAGTTTCTTGAATGAGCTGCCTAAGCTTCTCCTCACGTTCGAAAAATGTTTGCACTTTTTCATCGTCGGAGTCGTCATCTGAATCATGAACAAGTTCAGCCGATTTACTGATACCCAACTCCGAGTCAGAATCGACGTCGAGGTTAGGGACAGCTCTCCGACGACGGCGTGAAGATTTTTGAGTCACCGTTGCCTCATCATCCAGATCATCCAAACTGACAAACTTTTTATTGCGACGTTTCCTAGACTTTTGGGGTTGTGCATCCTCATCGGAGATATCATCGAGATTCAATTCGACCTCGTTATTGTCATTCTCTGGATCAAAGTCCTTATCTTCAGCATATCGATTCAACTGATAAGCTTCATCAAATTCCTTTCTTTTTGCCAAACCAATGACTTTTTTGATCTGATCGTCATCCAATTCTAGACTGGTTGCAAGCAGCTCATCGAACGGTGCTCCAATTCTCAAATTTGAGTAAGCCTGAGCTCCGAAGTTTAATTGCTCAGTGCTGAACACAATCTCACGAATTTGATCAAGGAAAGGCTCCAAATCGCCCGAATATCCCTCGTGGAAACTTATCCACTTGTTGATTAATTCTTTCACATCCCCAAGCTCGTTTGCAGTAACTTCTGGCTTGAGAATTGTTTCATCATTTAGTACAAATGCACATTCAAATCCGATACTTTCAAGAAGCAACCTTAAAAGAGAGTCAGTTATCACTAACCGACGATTTGCAAGAGTTAGCCGCAAGGCAACTAGGGATACACCCTGATTTTTAAGAGCTGCGATTCGGTCCAACTCACCGGTAACAAACTTGAGAATCTTTGCAGCATTGTTTCTCTTGAGCATTTGATAAACAATAATCGAAATCTTCTCGTCGAGCAGCTTGGTCTTATCAATGAATTCAAGAAGGGGGGCCTCTTTAGGTTGACGAACATCATCCGCAAAATAGCTCGAGCGACCAACTGCCACAGAGTCCAGGGTTTTGATAGATGATGTGTCCAAGTCTCCGGTACTGAGGTAGCATTTGAGCTCTGAATTCTCGAAACGAGGAAAGAGGAGCTCTAAAGCACCTGGGAACCTGTCAATCGAGGTTTTGAACTTCTTCATAAAGTAAACAATAAAGTCTTCCACATGATGTCTTATACTGGATTGTCTTGGTAAAAATGCCCTCAAACGGAAGATTGTATTCATAAAATCAAGTCGATACAACGCCGAAAAATCTTTTCTAACGACGAACAATCGATGAAAGAACGAGAGACCTCGTTTAATTTCCTCTCGCGTAAGATCCTCAAATTTTGAAAGATACTGAATATGAGTATCCACTGTATCGCTGTGGAAGAACCTAACTTCGGTATTTTTGAAGTCCAATTTTCTTTCTTGTGTGATGTATCTTATCTCAGCATCGTCATCTTCATCTTCTGAATCTTTGTCTATCAAATGCCAGTGCTGCTTATCCATGTCTTGGTTGAGGCCTCCTTTTCTGCCCAACTTGCTCATTTTCCGACGTGTTTTTATAAATAACTTCACGTCTTCGTTAGCTAAACTTTCAAAACTTTTGAGAAGGATGTGAACCACGGACACAACCACACTAAGATATTCAGGCGAATGCTTCGACGCTTTCTTTGGAATGTTCACAATCACGTCTAAAAATTGTTTCTGAGAGAAAAGCTTCCTGATAATTCCCTCAGCCAACTCTCGATCTTCGTCAACATCCTCTTCTGACGCAAGTTCAATCTCCCTCTGACTTCTTGCTTTGGTGAAAATTGTGTGGGATATGAGCAACATTTCTCGGAAACATATCATGGCAATATGGAGCGAGTCATGGTCCTTGCTATCAAAGGCAGATCTGAAGTACGAGATGAGCAAAATGAAATTGATCTCACTCAATGCCTCTCCAACTGAGCCATAATCAAGCCTGTCTTCGTCCTCCGTTGGTGTTTTGTTATTCTTCAAGTAATGCGAGTGACGCAGTCTCTTGTACCTGAGAAACCATGCAACCGTAATAAAATATGAAGCGAGTTCATGTCCATCAACAGCATCAAGAATTCCTGCTCTTCCTAGAGTGCTCTCGTTGGAAGCACTCGTCAAAATTTGTCCAACAAATCGAAGAAGATTATTGAAGCATCCACTTACCATCAATTCGTTGACGAAGCGAGTCAATATTAGTTGACTAGAAAGGTTGAGGTGAACTTGGCTCTTCAGAAGATAGGCATTGGAATCATACTTGAAAGTGGACATTTTATGCCATTTCTTGGTTCTATCAAGCTTATCCAAAGTGGTATGTGTGCTATTCAATGCCTCTTGGCCTGAAACGGTGTAATAACCAGAGTCGTCTGGGGCTCTTATGGAGAGGAGCGTACCAAACCTGCCATGCCTAGTTGAGATGGAATTCTTTTGAATCTTTTTGCGTTTATCCTCTTCCTTCAAGAGATCTTGGAGTTGAAGACCCGCGGCGCTTGAAGCTGGGGCCGCTTCAGTGGTCGACTGCCCAGTAGAATGCGGTGCCACATGATGCTGGGATACTGAAAATAAGGCATCCACGTTAATCCCTTTTATTATGAGTGACAAACATTCCATTACTGCTTGGCCAAATGATTCATCAGACAAATTCGAACCCACAGAATGGGCAATTGAAGTAAGGAAGAGAAGAACTTTATGCTTCTCAAATGCGGCTAGCACAGATCCAGTGTTTATGTCCTCTGCACTCATTCCATTGGGTAGGTCAGCAGAATTGGTGAATCCTTTAGGTGCTTTTGATGGAGGCAAAGGCTCTATAAATAGAACATTCCTGATGAAGAAAAGAATGAGACGAAGAATGTTCACATCTCGAGGTTCCCTATCCTCCTTTGGGGTCTTAAGTGCGTTCAACCCAAGACTTATGACAGCTTTGAGGGTGAGACCCAGCTTGTAATTAAGGATATGATACTTGTAAGCTAGCTGAGCCCTTCTAGCATTAGTTCTGGCAGTATAGTCTTTCTTGAGAGTCTGGCGATTAATGTCGATGGGCCAAGTGAGCAAAACCAATAGCTCTAATGAGGATAGCATGATTTTTTCGACTGCTTTCGTTTTCCGAATCTTATCTGAGGTAGGTTTGAACCACTGGCAAAGAATGACTGTCAAGTCATTGGTGACAAGGCCACTATCAGCGCATGCTAGAGCGACATCGAAGGAGTTATTCTTCTCATCCACACTTCTGAGCCAACGTTTTATATCTTTCAAGCATGCCAACGCGTCATGACCTAGTTTGTAGAGGCCCTCTTCAGTGGAATGATCTGGTCCGCCTAGGGCTGACGTCAAGACAGAGATGTGAGCCCGAAGGACTTTGGAGGTATATGATTCATGAACTTTCAAGCTTGAGGTCAAATCAGCAATTCTATCAACCTTTGGGGACTCGGGCTCCTCATTCTCCTTTTGAGTTTCGTCAGGCTTATTTTCATCCTCTGAAACGATGAAATCGTTTAGCTCCTCATCTTCTCTGTAGTCGTCCATGGTTGTAGGAAGCTAGTTACGCGTGCGCGTTATTTACATGGAACAATATCGCGCTGCCTTACAAGCGCCCACAGACGTCATGACAATCTCTAGGGCAAATTTGTCGATAGATTAAAAAAAAGAAAGAAACTGAAAAGCAGGCCAACGTAGAAATAAACCACATTGAGGGAATATGCACTTGAAAAAAGGAAGGCTATATGAAAAAGTTTGAGACTCATTATGAAGACGGAGTCAAAAGGAGGATTCGCTACTACCAACTTCAGAAACACCGTAATTTATGAAAAGGCTTCTAGCCTTAAATCCAATAAATTAGACGATACAGGCAAAATACCACCTCGAGGAGGATTACGAGCACAATGACGAATCACCATCAGATCCCCCTCCTAATCGCTGTCGCATCAGAAAATGTTGGACTACAATGGACGCCTCTCTCGAGTCCACACTGTCCCCCATTATTCGTTAACAATCGCCAATATCGCCTGATCCTAGTCCCACTACGTTGAAACTTGCCAATCACTTCCCGGCGTTACATTGTGCCTATTGTTCGAAGTCTGCGCCAGGCAATTTTTTTTTTTGAAAAATTTGCTTAAATGGTCAATGTCGACGAAAGCCTGGAGGGAGATGGGCATGGGGCCGTTTCTGCTACGGAATTGATGGGGGGACTGCTGGGATTATCTAAGGTGCAGCACTGTCTACAAATTGCGCTAAATAGGAAGGCGCCATGGCATGACATGATAGGGTAAGGTGGGGAGAAAACTTAAGCGACAAAGAGACCAAGCTCAAAGCCGCTTATCCGCCTGGCAGCCTATAGGAACGCTTGGTCGCTTAGTCATTCGGGTCAAGCAGTTTCCCCATTACATTGTCCCGCACCGCGAGATTGTGCTCTGTGCATTTGTGGGGGGCAGACTCCGAAACCACCATGACCCGAGCCTCCATTCCACGCTGAGGCTGGGAAACCACGAAAATTGGACAGAGGCACCGGAGCCAGGCTCAGAAAAAGCGGCTCGAGCCTTCTTATAAAATTTGCAAATTTGAAGGGCCCCTTTTTCATTCTATGTGTAGTAAGGCTTCGAGAAGCGACGGACTGCAGCCAGCATCCCAACGGACCCCTCCCCACCCCAGATTTTCCATCACTACCGGCAAGTGCCAGATATCTGTATGATATTATAGTCGTTTCTTTTCTTGCAACTTCGACCCTCCATTTATTCCTAACCATGAGCGATTCTCGCTACTCAAAGCGCTTTAGAGTGCCGGTGTCGTGTTCGGTCTGCCGTAAGAGAAAGTCCCGTTGTGACAGAGTGAAGCCAGTCTGTGGCACTTGCAAGAAAAAGTCGATAGCTCACTTGTGTACTTACGAAGACGATCCACCGACTGCCCAGCAAAATACCACGACTTTCTTACCCGTGGGGCCTGTCTTGACAACCCAAACAGCCCAGTACCCACCCCAGCCAAACCATGATCCTAACGTCATCCAAAACAACCACCGCCTACACCAAAACCCCCATACAAAGAGTCCAATGGTATCTTACCTGCTGCCTCAGCTCCCTCCTCCTCACCCCCACCCCCAATCTCCACTTTGGCCTCCTCATCACCAGCCACACTACATGGGCAGCGATCCATCACTGAGCCAAGGTATTATCAACCCCCCACCCGAGCACCGTTTTGCTCAACCCATCACCCCAAATGAGTCTCAGGGTCCTGAAATGCACCCTAGTCTCCATCAAGAGTATCAGCATCAGCCACCATATCAGCCACCAATACCGCAGGAGCACTCGATGCCGCTGCAACCACAACAAATAACACCGTCCAGCTACCCAGTAGATGCGCCAAGAGCTCCAACAACATCTCGCTCTCACGGATCCCACAGCTCTCATGGCTCACTTGGTTCCAAAGGATCTCTTCCCCTTCCGCAGTCATTCTCTGGAAATGCCCCTATCGGAAGCCCGAAGAACCATATGCTTTCTAGGACAAATTCTATGGGAAGCTCGGCTCCATCCATCTCTGGCATATCAGGTCCCCCTCTGGTGACACTGAAGAAACGCAAGATTCCAACCACTCCTCCGTTGGCACCTGCCATGCTCCCTACCGGTTCGTCAGGCAAACCTGCTGAACCTCCACAAGCCATGTCGATTTCCATGGGATCCAGGTCCAATACTTCAATGACTGAGCGGTCCTCGAATTCTCCTAATAAAGAGAAGACGTCGGTTCCATCGGCCAATTCTCAACAGGACATAAAGTCACCGAAGAAAGAACTTTTCACAGAAGAGAGTCCATCTTCCGAATACGTTTCTATTTCTATTGGCTCTAACATTCTTCAAATTGAATTGGAAGACACGATGGACTCGTTTTCTGCTGCCACCAATTCTCTTTTGGTCGAGGGTGAGTTCTGGCTGCAACAAGGCCCTCTCTCCTATGTTGGTCTCACGAAGAGCGACCCTTTCATCAAGCTCATTCGAAGCTTCAGTATAGAGATCTTTAAAAGCGACGAGTTTGCGCAGTTCATTAGACGCAAGAAGCCACTACCGGGTGATAAGAGCTCTCCCGCTTCTGCCATGAGTGCCGGCACCAGTCTTGATGATACTTCGAGATCTGAACAATCTGATCAACCCTTCGATAAGACCTTTGCTCTCGAGGACAGGAACTCGGAAGACGAGACTGATCTTCTTAGTGGCGGGGCTCTTCTTACAACCAAGATCAAAGCTGATGAGCCAAATAACTCATTACCATTCCCAAGCCCATACGCCGAAATGCCTGGAGGGATTTCAATTCAAAGCTTATCTGGGTCGAAGCTGAACTATTACGAATTTGTTCAAGCTCAAGTGATCAGCATTCTTCCGAACAAGAGGTCTCTATATCATGCAGTGAGTCGATACTTTAAGTTCGTGGCTTCATTTGTCCCCATACTTCATGAGCAGACATTTATGTCAGAAGTGCGTTCCTTATTTGGTGGTGGGTTCCCTGACTTTGGCGATGGCTTCTATAAGCTGTTTTTCATAAGGGATGAGCAGGACCTCAATTTGACTGCCCAATTGCTACTTATCCTTCGACTTGGCTACATGTCTCTCATACCCACAGGTGAAACCGATATTGTCTTCACCAAGGAAGAGAAGCATCTAATCAAGGATATCACGAGATTTAAGTCGGACCACTACTTGAGCATCATCAACCTTTGCATATCGGAAGAGAAGGTTCAGTCGAAATCCACCTTCAAGATCGTCCAGAGTTTAACTCTTTTGTACTTCTACCGTTCAGTGGCTCCAAACGACTGTCTTGGTATCAGTGGTGCAGATTCGCAATTATTATTTGGCTCCATTGTCAATCATGCTTTATCGATTGGTTTGAATCGTGATCCTGCAAACTACGATAGCATACACAGCATCTCTAAGAAAGCAGACTTCGTTAATACTTGGAGGTCGTTATGGCACTTTATAATCAACGCCGATGCCATGGGTGCCATGTTATGCGGCTCACCCCTTAAGATTCCGACTATCGAGATAAGTGATGTTGAGACACCAAAGTTTGACAAGAATTCAAGTGAGAGAGAGGAATTGTTCTACAGAACACAAGACATATGCAACTCATACCGTCGTGTCATAAATAAGCTCACCAATCTTCACGACAAACCTAAGGTCATTGAAGTGTTACGAGAGACGAGCTACTTGGAGGGAATGTTCCTTTCTCTTTTTGGGCAGGTTTTTTTCCGAGATTATATCTGCAGCCCGGCGCCTCAACATGGAGACGGCCTGGACGCTAGTGAGAAAAAGAAGCGGGAGGAATGCTTACTCAAAGTGTCCCGCTTTTTGACCTTCTTGCACTTGAGAGCCAGCCTTTCGTGTCTATACTACTTGGTGGTCATTCATTATGAGGAGAAGCTTGATAAAGATGCAAGTGCTGAGATCACTGCAGGCATTGAGCTCTTCAAAATCTTCATTAGAAGTGTCGTGCAGCTTGTTTATATAATGTCGTATGCACTTGATAATTCTCAAGAGCTTTTTGGCAGACATTATGACTTTATCTTGACTTCGGGGATCGAACGGTCATTGATAAAGACCCACAACTTTGTGACATCTTTCTTCATTCGTCTTATCAACTATAAGAGGGCGTTGGTGGTTCAGCAATTTAGCAAAATGGCGAATCCTTTATCGAATTCCTCTGAGGACGATGACTCGGAATTAGTTGCTCGAAGCGAGGTTACCGATTCGTTGTTCACAATTGCAATGATAGAGGCGGAGCTTTTTGTGGGCAACTTCTGGACCCTTAGCAAGACATACATCAATTCTTACAAGATTTATGTCATGGCATACTTTGTGCTCAAACAATGCATGGAAAATCCCGACAAATTGTTCGAAGGGATGGTCAATCACAAAAAGTATTTCCACGATGGTACGAACTTGCTTCAATTTCTTTCCATAGTTGAACTCCAGAGCTTGTGCAAATTATGTGAAGAATTTCGCCTCGCAAAAGTGGAGCTGATTCGAAGACAAACGACCCGGCCCAAATCCGGCGCAGCCGACGTGGAAGGAGGCAAAGTGGACAATGACGAAGAACCTTTCGACGCCTTGTTAGCAAACAGGACGATGTATGCGAACCGTAACACGGTCAATACCTATGGAGTGTTACAAGAGAAGCATATGTATCGGGATTTTGAAAAACAGGCGTTTGATGAGCAGTCAATGATTGGCAACGAGGAACTCCTTAAGCTCTTTGAGCTCTACGGCGATCTCGATGCAGTCATGGGGGTGTGAATGGAAGAGGCAAAAGATTGACCTCGGCGCTACCGCATTGTTTGATTGTCCAATTGTGAAAGTTAAGGTTTCCTATGTAGGCCAGATGCAGCGACGCACAGCGTTCAAAGCCCCACACAAGTAAGTAATGACATTCACTATACAGTATAATACAGCATCCATCCCAGGGACATATAGATACGCTGCTGCGCAGATTTCCAAGAGACTGTTTTTTTAGCTAGTGATGGTCCAGGCAGCGTATCAACCACACAATAG